TTCTAGAGTCTGTTCCCCTCATTACTTTTCTTCCATTTATTCAGCATATTAGTTTGACCTTCCAGTTCTGAATTCTTATAAGTAGCTACACCTGCTGTTGGCCAAAAAAAATCCAAAACCAGCCAAATATACATTATTTTACTGAAATCACTTTCCAAAAACTTGAAGGAGTTTTACGATTTTTTCTGCAATTAAGGACAGTTGTCAACCATGCCAGAGCACCATGTAGAGAGGGTAAGTTATGCCAGAGGAGAAGAGCGACAACATATTAAGTGCTGTCACTCAGACGTTCCAAGTGTTTCATTCATAAAACCAGTTACTCTGGGGCGGCATTCAGCACGTGCATTTGAAAGTGAACATTTAGGTCCTCCTGAGGGCTTTCGTTCACTGCCACAACCAGCTGGATCCCCAGCTGAGTGCAGAGAGAAGAGGAAGGAGCAGTTCGAGGGGAGGCTGTCACCCCAGGGGGACCGAGCCAGGCATGGGTTTACAGGGCAGGGGGAAACATACTGCCTCCCCAACTCAGACGCACTCCATAAGATGCCTACACCATCCACACCTCCCAAGGATATTCCTGAGACTCAGTCTTCACGTAGAGAAGTACCAAGAGTCTCCCATGTATCTTCATTTAGAGGAAATGTTAGGTTCAGAAGATTGATCTCAAGGAGTGCGCGCCATGAGACAGAGGCAGGACGGAGTGGAAACGCTCCTTGCCAGCTGGCGAGCAGGACGGTGGGAAGAGCGGGTGCAGATACAGGCCCTGCTCGCCATCAGCTGGGCACCTCAGTGACGGCTTTTAATCTCCATGAGCATCATTTTTCTTATCTTCAAAATGAAAGGGGTGATACTTTGATGGCTGATAAAGATTAAGTGAAAGAGTTAATATAAAGGGCCCATCAATGCCTGGTATCCATCAGGCACTAAATGGTCAGTTGTCTTAATAGCAATTAAAAAATCATTAATGTAAGCAAGAGTCAAAACCATTAATGTAGGTAAGCGTCAATTAATGTAATTCAGAGTCCCTTAGACTGCAAGGAGATCAAACCAGTCCATCCTAAAGGAAAACAGTCCTGAATATTCATTGGAAGGATTGAGGCTGAAGCTGAAGCTCCAATACTTTGGCCATCTGATGTGAAGATCCAACACATTGGAAAAGACCCTGAAGCTGGGAAAGACTGAAGGCAGGAGGAAAAGGGGACGACAGAGGACGAGATGGTTGGATGGCATCACCGACTCAACAGACATGGGTCTGAGCAAGCTCTGGGAGTCGGTGATGGACAGGGAGGCCTGGCATGCTGCAGTCCATGGAGTCGCAAAGAGTCGGACATGATTGAGCGACCGAACTGGATGTGAGTAAAAATAATAAGATGAGAACTATAATAAATAATGTAGAAAGAGGGAAAAGAAATGTGTTAGGGAAAGGAAATATAATCAGTTCATAGAAAGGAAAGGTAGAATGAACCACATCTTAAAGGGTCATGAAGAAACTAGATGGCTGTTAGGAGCCAGACAGACAGAAGCACTGCCAGGAAGGAAGAACACTGAAATGAGGGTTTAGAAGCCTGAGAAGCTCAGGGCATTTGGAGCCTCAGGCAAAATTCTCTGAATTGAGGTCAAAGCTTAGGAAAAAAGTAAAGGAAGACACAGACCCTTACAAGGGCCTTGAACAGCAGACAAAGGGAGGGCCATCACAGACCTAATCAATAGGCTCAATTTTGTCAAATGCAAAGGAAAGAGTGGGTCATGAAACTTCAAAAAGTAGTATCTAGTTAAAGAATTCACATCCATTAAAAGCTATTTTGTAATATTTTTCTTACCAATTGTACTCTGCTACCTGGAAAAGGGAATGGCAACCCACTCCAGTATTCTTGCCTGGAGAGTTCCATGGACAGAGGAGCCTGGCGGGCTACGGTCCACGGGGTCACAAGAGTTGGACACAACTGAGTGACTAACACTTTCACTTTCAGCTGGAGGATACTACTGAAATTAAAAGACACTTGCTTCTTGGAAGAAAAGCTATAACAAACCTAGACAGCATTTTAAAAAGCAGAGACATTACTTTGCCGCACAGAGGTCTGTCCAGTCAAAGATGGTTTTTCCAGCAGTCATGTACAGATGTGAGAGCTGGGCCATAAAGAAGGCTAACAGCCAAAGAACTGATGTTTCTGAACTGTGGTGTTGGAACAAATCCAGTCCATCCTAAAGGAAATCCAGCCTCAATATTCACTGGAAGGACTGATGCTAAAGCTGAAACTCCAGTACTTTGGCCACCTGATGCGAAGAGCTGACTCACTGGAAAAGACCCTGATGCTGGGAAAGATTGAAGGCAGGAGAGGAAGGGGACGACAGAGGATGACATGGTTGGATGGCATCACCGACTCAACGGACATGAGTTTGAGCAAACTCTGGGAGTTAGCGAAAGACAGGGAAGCCTGGCATGCTGCAGGCCATGGGGTCGCAAAGAGTCGGACACGAGTGAGCGACTGAGCAACCACCACCAAAATATATTTACAATGAAAGTGAAAGTGAAAGTCGCTCAACCGCATCCGACTCTTTGCGACCCCATGGACTACACAGTCCACAGAATTCTCCAGGCCAGAATACTGGAGTGGGTAGCCCTTCCCTTCTCCAGGGGATCTTCCCAACCCAGGGATCAAACCCAGGTCTCCAGCACCACAGGTGGATTCTTTACCAGCTGAGCCACAAGGGAAGCCCAAGAATACTGGAGTAGGTAGCCTATCCCTTCTCTAGTTGGGCTCTTCCCAACCCAGGAACTGAACCAGGGTCTCCTGAATTGCAGGCAGATTCTTTAGCAACTGAGCTATCCATGATATAACTGTAACTTCTAAACTTGGCTCATTCTTTTTTTTACATTGCTCAGAAAATACACTGAAGATACATGCCTATTATGTAAATGTCAAAAAGACTGTGTAAAATTAAAAAATGTGCTTTCAATAATTCAGAATATAGGAGTTTTTATAAGGATAATACCTGAGACAATAACAAGTGTTTTATATACAATAAATAATTTTCCTTAAAAACTATTTATTTTGAAAATATGTAAGAAAAAAATGTCTAAGTACATTCAACATACTTTAAAAATTAAGTTTTCATTCGAAGACTGAGTCAAAGAAACGGAAAGACATGCAGAATGAAAACACTATCCTCCAACTCCCAGACAGAACCAGCAGTAAAGAGAGCAGGAGAAAACACCACACATAAAAAGGAAAAAATATAGATAAATTAACAAATTCACAAAATGCGATCAATAAACAGGAAAGATACTCCCTGACAAAATTAAATATTTTCCCACAGATACTGAGAATCTGGCTTTCACGATGCTTAAAACAAAAATCAGAAACCTAGTACCCCTATCTGTTTAATTAAGCTCAAATAAGGAGAAAATTAAGCTACAAAAATTATAATAATTCATGTCAAACATGGGATTTTCTATAATTTTAACCAGCACCTAACAACACTGATAATTTAAATCATTTAAGAAAATTTTCTCTTCAGTCTGCTTTCCTCAAATCTGAAGTCTTTTACAAGTTTAAAAAAGAAAATAAAAAGAAAAATGTAGTTTATAAAGATCAGTGTTTAAAAAAAAAAAAAAAAAAAAGATCAGTGTTTAAATGTGGCAAACTTCCAGCAAAGTGATACTTTTAACTTTCCTCCAGTAACTATAAATCTGACACCAATCTCTTTCCAAAACATGTGACATCCAAAATCAATCACTAATTTTGTCTTTGAAACTCATTTTTTTATGTTTTAACTGATGTTTGATAATTTTAATAAATATGCTCCACTGTAGTATGGATGACTGGTTTCCAGTCTTTCAAAGAATGAGACCCTATAACTGTCAATAATCTCTGAAGACCTCCCCACGTGAGTTATATATACTGCATATGGTACTATGAGTTCTACACCATGGTTTAAAAAATATACACACATTTCAAAAAGATTAGCAAGCAAATTAGTCCATATGCATTTTTCTAGACACAGCAGCTGATCTGCCTATAAATGTACAGACTTCTCTTTGTGACTCAGTAACTCTTCAGAGGTAAGAGAGCCACTGGGTGGGAACCAGTCATCTGAAAGTCAGCTCAGAAAGCACACAACCCACTCACATTTGTTCAGTGCTTGTTTAGCGCACGCACACAGTTTATGACACAATTTACACACTCATCCTGAAAGATACCCAGAGGGGACGTAAGAATTCTCATTTCACAAATACGATATGGAAGTCGAGAAGGAATAAAGAAATGGGTTGACATTACACAGCCTAACAATGTTGGAATTCCTATTAGATAATAAGTCTTATTGCTAACAATATTTTTGATCCATTTATTCATCTGGTTACAAAAGGGTAATATAATCATTTTAGTAAAATCAGACTAATATACTTAACCAGTAATTCAGAGGGAAAAAAAAATTTTAATTTATATCTTTTGGGGCTACTTAACAACGTGGGTCACAATTCTACATAAAACCATTTTAGGCGTATTAAAAAGGAAATGGCAAAGTGAGCTAAGATATGCTAAATAGAGAAGCCCACTTAGAGAAGTGTTAGGAAAACAATAAATTTCTAAATATTGCAAAATGTCCAGATTCTAACACATTTAAATCTTCACATTGTACTTGACATTTCTAAACTAATAAACTCAACTGTTTGGTTAACTTCTTAGTAATCTTAGCAAGATTGGGTAGTCACTCTAAAATGCATTAACACAGTTCATTAGGTAAGAGGTAAGAATTCCAATTTCAAAACAGTAAACAAGGTGCTATATGCAAGAGAATGTGGGAAATACCTAACTAAAGGTTGAGCTAAACCCGAAAGGTCAAGAACCTGGAGAAGGAACACCATGTTTTTAAGCATATTATTTTGGATTTTCAAAAACCCTTATGAAACTTTTTAGGGTGGGGGGTATTCAAGGGATTCATTCTCTGCCCCATTCCAAAGAACCACCCAAGAGCAAATTAAAACAGTGATGAACGCTTACAGGTTTGTATCTCAGAGCATCTCTGTAGGATCCAAACAAAGCCGCCTGCGCCCTGAGGAAGGCCCTGGCCACTCCATCCCCCGTAGCTGTGGACTGCTTCTTCAGTTTGTTTTTCAGGGCCGAGACCTGCGTGACAGAGAGGAATCGTTACATTCACACCTTGAAAATTGGTACGGCGAGGGATGAGCCGATCCGCAGGCAGGCCGCGGCATCTGCGGGTCAGCTTATCGTCGTGACCGCAGGCAGCACCTGCTGGCCTGTTAATTGAAAGGGAAGCAGGGGCCCACGGTAATGTGCTAATGCAAATTGGCCCGTGCGCTCCTTTTTTATCCCCAAGGCCTCCTGACATAAATAAGCTTTAATTATTTTACAGTAAACTGCTTGTGAGGCACTTTCCTGCAGATGTTTAGCCATTACAACGTGTGTCTACTTGTTTGGAGATGGAGCCGGTGGGGGAGTGTTTTGTTTCTGCTACGGAAGGTTACTTGTTCCAGGCCCTTCAGGATCACTGGCTGTTTAATCTTATTTTTGGAAGCCTCATTTGTACATATAATTTTCCAGTCACTTGTTGAATAGTTTTCAGCATTATTAGACAGAAAGCAGGAAGGGAGTTAAGGTTACTGAGAACCTAAGCACGAGGAGGGAATTCTGCTACGCTTGTTAGACACTGACTGTCCCATCTGATGTGAACCGTCTTCCCACGCCAGGTACTCATGTTACCGTTTATGAACGAACAAACAGGGGCTCAAATGTGTGGACTCACTTGTCCTTAATATTTGGCTACCAAGAGGTGAAACTGAGATCTCAACCCAGTTCTGTCCAGTTTTTCCCACCACCATTTGCAGGATCCGAGTTCAATGTTATTGCCTTATGAACCAGTTATCCCACTAATAATGTTTCTAAATCAAAGGAAAACGTATGATCTAGAAATGTGCATACTTTTAAAAGGCACCTATGTTTGCTATAATTTTTCATACACTTGTACCCTTTAATTTCAGATCCTGTGTATTAATATTTTGGGGCTTCCCAGGTGGCTCAGTGGTAAAGAATCTGCCTGCCAATGCAGGAGACAGGGGTTCAATCCCTGGGTTGGGAATATCCCCTGGAGGAGGAAATGGCAACTTGCTCCAGTATTTTAGTCTGGGAAATCCCATGGACAGAGGAGCCTGGCAGGCTACAGCCTGGGTCTCAAGAGCCAGACACAACTTAGTGAGTAAACCACCAGCTCCACAATCATATTCCTGATGTGTACTCTTATTTTTTAAAAGAGGACGTGATATGATCTGTTCCCATGCCTCCAGTTCACTTGACCCATTCCTTTCCCACATAAAAACCTCACTCTGTACACTTAAAAAGTACCAGTGATGCTCAAATACCTTCCGTAGCAATGCTCTACCTGGGAACATGAGGTCACATAGAAATCCTGTTTTCTAAGAAAAAAAATGATGGGACGAGTTCTGGTTGGCCTGCTCCCTTACCAGGGCACATTCTCGTCCTTACGACAGATACTACCGGATTAACAACGCTGTTCCTCCTTTACGTATACGTGCAAGGAGGAGTATTTACATTTCTTTATACAAGCAGTCCTGACTGCTCCTGTGGATGATGATTGTAACTGAAGTGTCAACCTAATTAACAACCGAACTTTGAATAATGCTAATGAGAAATGAACACAGCATCAGAGGCAGGACCAGCTCTACAGGTGATAAACCTTCACAGGAGTGACATTTTCCAGTGTAAAGTCACAGCCACTGTGATCTGATCAAAGACACAGACCCCCACTGGGTCCAATTATAACCACAGTTTTGAAAAAATTACTGAGTTAAGATGCTCATAATCTATGCAGAAAGGCCTTTGCAGTATAGGTCTTTCCCCATAGCTGTGATCTTCTCAATTTATATCCAAGCTCCACAGATCCAGATAAAAGTTTAGAGCCTAATGCACTTAGCCCACAAAATGCATAAACTAGGATTTAAGAAGTTGTTATTATTAAAATCTAACCTCAATAAATGCACATTATTAGGTAACCCACATATTCAAAAATAAATACAGCTGAAGGATGCAAAAACAAACCTCTGACTTAATGTCCTATATTCTGAAGATAGTAATAATGTTAAGTTCCAAATGCCTTTTTAAAAGAAAACAGTGGGGATGAAATCAACACGTGTAGTTCATTAATGCCCCCTAGAAAGGCTCATCATGCAAAGAATAACATTCTAGTCTTCCAAAGTATTATAAAAATAAAATTGGGTTATGTTTATTTTAGAAAAAAAAAATTAAATGTCATGCCTTGTATCTTTGCAGAAGTGAGTTCCCCTAGATGTAATTTTCTAAACCTGAAAGTGGGGCTTCCCTGTTGGTCTGGTGGTTAAGAATCCACCTGCCAATGCAGGGGACATAGGCTCCATCTCTGATCCGGGAAGACCCTACGTGCTACAGAGCAAGTGAGCCCAGGCGCCATCACCAGACAAGGCCCGGCCCCGGGAAGCCTGCAGACGGCAGCTGGAGGGGGCCCTGTCCCTGCGACTCCAGAGCCCGCACAGAAGAGAGACCTGGTGCAGACAGAAATGAACACAAAAACCTTAAAAAAAAAAAGGATAATCTGTAGCTGGTGGATTGTTGTACGGGTTATAAAGTATATGGAGCAAATGCCTTAAAAAAAAAAAAAGACCTAAAGTGACAATTCAGCTCTCCACTAATCAAGAATCCTTAGGACGATCAGGACACCTGTGCCGGCAGAGCCTGCAAGCAGGTCAGGCCATTCCCCAGCCTTTACTACCCCAAGTCCTTGACTGCTGAACTGCTAAGCAAGTTTTCCAGGGTAGTCATCACATTGCCACGAGCCCTTCCTAAACAAAGTCGGAACTATGTGGCCTTCACTTCCAAAATTAGTCAGCATCAGTTCCTGAATTCCATCAAGAGGTCTACAGAACATAGGAAAGAAGAAAAATTTGCTCTAGAACTTCTGATAGGGTAGCCGCCAGACACACAAGCACCTGAAATGTGACTAGCCTAAACTGAGAGCTGCTGCGTTAAAAAAAATACATCGGATTTTGAAGACAGTACCATAAAAAGAGTAAACTACTTCACTAATCACTTTTATTGATTACATGCTGAAATAGTATTTTGAATATACTGGGTTAAATAAAACATTAAAATTCATTTCAGCTATTTCTTTTTGCTTTTTAGCATGGTTGCTAGAAAATTTTTAATTGCAAATGTGGCCTACATTATGTTTCTACTGTGGACTGTGCTATTTTACATGAACAGACTATTCATGTTGAACATACTATTCATACAATTTCATACAGACGTGTGAGACTAAAAAAACTGCCTTGCAAGAAGTATGGTTAAGGTTTTCCTTTGCCTATTTCTACATTATTTCAGCCTTTACAAACTGCACATGAAGAGCTCTTCCTTGACCTACTCGAGGTGACCTCGACTGTCAGCAGATCGGTGGTGGTCCCAGTTTCCCAGACCAGAGGGGCAGTGAGTTAAGTGTTTGTGTGTGCACCCATGAGAGCTCAGAAACAACCTGTAAAAAGGAAACATTTTTTAAGTCAGCTTCAGATATGAGGATACTACTCTAATATAAATAACTGTCAACCTTGTTATTTTTCTGTACTGTAAACCACGGGAATAAGTTATCACCAGTTACCACTGCCCTTTGCAGGGCAAATTAGCTGTGAGCAGATTTTAATATATAGATTTTAATTAGAAAAAAAAAAGGTGATGTGTCTTCTGCACTTTTAAAATACCTGGTCTGGGAAATAGCATTTTCTGCTTAATTCCCAAACTTCTACATTTAGTTCTGACATAAATGTACATCTTTCCATTATATCCTGAAGCTTATACTCACATGTAACTGAATTCAGCAAAGCACCTGAAACTTTGGTAACACAGCTATTATCACAAAATCCTATGATTGCCTCCTGAAAAGGTATCCATTGTTTTCTCTTTTTATTCTTCAGAAAGTCAGCTGCAATCAATGTTTGATGGCTGAGGATGACTTCAAACCTGATGTTTTACTTTTACATACTTAGTCTGTATATAAATTATTTTTTAAGTCTAATTAGGTATCATACTAGACCCTCCCCCCAAAAAATGTGAAGAAACTTCAGGATAAACATAATTTCACTGCTCTTATCAAGTGTTCAGATTCCTTTCATACAATGAGCATCCAGGCTTCCGAGCAGCCAGATTTACAGCCTGGGTCTAAGCATATTGAGAGTTCACTGCAACGTGAATAATATTACCAGTTCTCACCCTTGCCCTCTTAGCACTGACTGACTATGAGTAAAACGAGGGAATCACACGAGTAAACACAGAAAACAGGCACAAATTAAAAGAGTTCAAGCTACATGCACGTGGTCTGAGCAGTGAAGCTATGCTGCTAACCGGGGGTTAGGAAGGGAGGTGACATAAAGGAGCTGAGATTTTTCATAGAAGTGACAGGTCTTTCTCCTAACTTGACTTTCAGATGTGGCTTCTCAGGAAAAATAAATCAACCACTATAACCCACTAACTTTCATTTCACTTCTTAGGATCACAAAGAGAAACATCAGGGTAAAGAACAGAAGGTAAACATAAATGTTCAGGAATAACATGGGGATAAACTATGTGTCCTGACATGGCTCTATGATATCTTTAAGTATCCATATTCCTAACTGAACTCTACTCTAGAAACTACATACATTCAGAAGAGCTAATGCTTCAAGTAATATCTTGCATTAGAAAAAAGTTACAAAGTTGAAATCTTCTTTATTCTTCCATGAAACATCTTATAGCCATTATATTAATCCAAAATTAAATCCCTACACTTTAATCCTTCTAATGTTCAGTTTTTTAGGCAATAAAATGAACCCTTCTGTCTTAGTTTTCTAACATGCTTCTATTTAAGGATTAAAACACTAACCTTTAACATTTGTTAAATGAAAAACATATGATACACTGGCAGAGGGCATCATGACACTGTTTCTTTGAATGCTTAAATTACCTATTGGAACCTAAAATATGGTGTCATCTATAACTGTTTTCCCTTCAGAGGGATCATAAAATGAAGACAACCAAGACCGCTCTGACTCCTTCTCAAGTCCAACGTCATGCCAGTGTCTCAACAGCAACGT